TTTATTGCTAGATAGTCCAGCTTCCCTCCTTTCCGACCCGCTCCACAATTTCTGACAATTTGCTTTGAAAGAGTGTCCACTAAAACTTGCATGCGCATTATGCTTAATGATCACATTGACGTGGAGAACGCGAGGTTATGTAAATTCTTGTGCAATATAGAAAAGACTGATGGAATGTCATTTGCATCCGTGTATTATCCGTCTATGGACTTGGGAAACAATTTGCAATTTGACTCGGTCTAGCTTTCAGTGTTAAGATTATTATCGAGCCAACTCTATCGAGCTACAGGTTCCAGTCACAGGTTGAAATTATCCAATAAAGACTGGGTTTGTTGCTGTTTCATTAACCTCGTAATCGGACCCTTCAGCGTCTCGACGCGCATATAAAAGGCTAGTTTTTGATTCGTGAGTACTAGTTATCATGTCCAGGCCGAAGGCACGGTCTTGACACGACTTTATTTTTTATTTATTTTTTTTTTCCACGCTCCTCAACTCGATCATGTCTGAAAAATTCATTCTTTTTTCTTTCTCTCTTATACTAACTAAAATATAGTTATTCTAGTCATGTTAATTTTTTTTAAAACGCTTGAAAATAAATTGCTTTTCATCTTTCGTAAATCGATTTTCCGGATGTGCAAAACGCGTCGTAAGTTAAGACAAAATTGGCGGGAATATTTCTTTGCTTTGATTTCGCTCTTCTTTGGATTTTTTGCTTCTATAAATTTTTCTAGTCATTTTGGAAGATAAATGTTTAAGGAAAAAATGYCGGTGTTTGACCACACATATTTTAGCGGTTTTGTTTTTCTTTTTCGCGCGAAGTATGGATTTCCTGTGTGTCAGCCATGAAAAATCGACTCGATGGTATACCATTGTTTCTTAGCTAATATAAGGTGCTTCGCTAATAAGCAGGGCTGCATAACAAATTTGTCAACGCTTATTTAAAAGTTGAGATACCGTGTGCCGAACTTCATGCTGCTGTAAAAATGCATCTTTTTATAATATAATAGCGGTTGCAAATATGTGTTTATCGGACCTTTTCTTAAGCTGGTCACTTCGTCTATTTGGATCGACCCGTAACAGAAAAGAAACTCCATAATGGGATTGAAACAACTTTCTGCGTGTTATCAACACCGTCAGATGAGTTTGGATCTACAAAAGTACATTTGGCGACCTAGACTTCATATATTTCAAAGATACGAAAATTTAAAAGGAAAATTTCTCCCAACCCGTTCAGAAAATTGATAAATTTTAGGCTGACCCTTTTATTGCTGTTGATAAGGATTTTTTACTACTGCTGGTTTTCTTTTTTATTAAAATGGCTGGGTTAACAGTGAAYAGGATTATTGCTCAATATGAAAGACATTCTGGAAATTAAACTTATTGGACTTAGTGATCAACAATAAAAGCAAMAGTGAGTTATTTATTTGATATTTCTTTTCTGTGGTGTAATAGAGGTAAAAAAATACCATTGACCGTCAGCTCCACGGTACCGCGGCAAAGTGTTTTAAAACTTTGTCTCCTTTTCTATTCATTTCATAAATCACGAATATTGACCAAATATGAGGATCAACTGATTTCTCTCTTTATTGTATAAGACAAGTRATAGCCGAAGAAAAAAATAAAAGTTTGTCAAATGAGAAGGGGGGAGGAAAGAACAAAATAAGTAAAGCGAACACTTTAAGCTTTAAGATGATAGAAATTAGGAAGGCAGTATTAAAGCGATAAAATAAAACGTTAAAAATTGTCAGTAAAAGTCAGTAAAAGCTGAAAAGTAAAACGAAATAAAGAAAAATTAAAGAGATAGGTAGATTTAAATAAACTGCATTAAAGCTTCAATGATAAATTATGCAACACAGTCGGCCATACAACTTTTCAAATGTAAAAAAGGTATTGACTCAAACATCAGTACCCGAAGAAAACAAAACGTCTGCTACAAAACGAGAATTCGTGCATGTTTTGACGCTATTTCTAGCCAATATAGCCTGAACATTTTGTTCTTGAATACGAGTATTCTTTTGGATTAATATGAATATGTTTGTCACCGTTTGAGGAAACTTTGGCAGGTAGTTCTATAATTTGTTTGTATTCGCCTTGAGTTGACATTGATATTTCAAAACACATCCAAATTGTTTTATATATATAAGCTTATATGTATACATAAAGTAAGTTATTAAACCGATAATTTTGAAAGCAGTTATAGTTTAAATTAATTACAGTAAAATTGATAATTTATGGAGACTTTTTACATCATTTGTGAACAAAAAAACATTCTGATATTAAACCGCATTTCTTATTATCCATGAAAGAAACTCAAAAGTGTATGAATATTCAAGCGTACTTAGAGCATCTTGTCTCTTTCGTTGTGGTTATCCACTTTTTTGAGATTGAAGTTTTTCTTCTTTAGAAAGAGCACAAAATCATTGTGAATTTTGCGCAATAATTTAGGTTCACTTTTTTTTTAATATCAATTTTCAATTTTAAAAAAAACCTTCGGAAAGATGCCATGAATAATCGTCTGGGTTTTCCTGACGAACGTTTGAGTAACCAAATGCACTACGTGTTTCTCGGCGTGCCAATTTTACAACAAGAGGAACTTAGTAATGTTATCAAGACAACACAGCTTAAGCTTAATTTTACCTTTTTTCCACCACTTTTTTGACAACTTCTCTTCCTTGTTTAGCGTCAAACTCGTCGGTAAGACTAAAAACACGAACACCTTCATTTCCAACGCAAATTTCAACCTTTTTAGTACATTTTTCGCGAGACATTTTGCCTTTGAAAACGTCGACGCCATAACCAGGCACAGTGGATAGAAGATGAAGATACTCGATTTTTGCTTCATTTGCAGATGTATGAATTAATTGTGTATGCTCTGCCGCTGCATCCTTTTGGAGATCTGAAGTTTTACTATAAAACACGTAGAGTGATTTGGGAATATACATTGAATACTGCGGAGGCTTTTCTGGAATGAAATCTCCAGTGTCAATTTGTGCTATTAGTGCACAGATCCTAGCAATCGTTTTTGTTTGTGAATTTGACAGATCCAACTTCCCGCTTGCTATATAGCTCTTTAGAGTCAAATAAAATTGATGCCTACAAAATAAAGTACACAAAATCATTAGAAAATAGTCCATTGTTAAAGTATAATTTCAAACCTAGTAAATTACAAAAAATAATAATGGAGATTTCCGTTTAAAAAAATTGCCAAACTCGCCATTTTTGAACAGCGACCTACAGAGATATTCAGGCGGTTGTTTTGGTAACCTGCCACTACCTGCTCACCTTGAAATTTCTTGCTGCAGCTCTTGAGGTTTAACGAAAAATTTAACAAGAAGATATAAGCGATGTGGTTGCTTGCCGGTCAACTGAACAGACAGAAGATTTCTCATGTTTAGCCAGAGTCGTGCGCCATTTGGACCGCTGTATTTTAATCCAAAATAATCTTTCTCGACAAGCCGTAATTTCTCGCAGACCTGAAAAAGAAAACTCCGTTTAAAAAAACTCAAAAACAAAGCTCAATTTTGTAAAGAAGATTTATGTATTTGGGTCTTTTTAATTCAATGGAAAGAAAATTTTGTTTAACGAACTGAGTGACGATTTGCTGCAATGCACAAAGCTTACCTTATCAAAACACTCTTGCCCGACAGCATTTCTAGGTAAAAAAATTTCATGGATTATTCCACTTGGCTCTGAAATGAAACACCACATCTTCGCTGTCAAAGTYAAGCTTGACAAATACTAAGAAATGAAAAAGAAAAAGCGTTTTTATCGTTCGTCTGTTAAGGAGAAGTGTTGGTTGGTATGAATAGAAAATTGACAACACACACACAACAGCTGAAATCTACAGAATATTTAGTTTTCTAAGCAGCCAATCACAACACGCCGCTAACATCAACCGACAATAATTTGCATATTTCAAATATATTATATCTTCAATAATTCAATCTCGCATGGCGTCTAAATATTCATTTTCGATTCACAAAACAGGGAAAATAATACTATATGACTTGCTCCACATTTTTGAGTTATATTCATTTCGAAGATAAGAATATTCCCTTTGGTTTTAGTTAATAATTGTAAGGGTACTTCCGGTTAATTTTTAATATTAAAGCGAGGGTTTTTAACTCTCATTGGTTCTTCAAAAAATACATATCTTTTCATGACAGTAATGTTATTCCGTATTGACATTGCCTACTATATCAACATTAAAGATACTTGAATAAAGAATATTAATGTGGAAATGCGAAAGTGCTTTGCTATCGAAAGCGCACACTTTTCACTGTCAGTTTTTTTGCGGTCGAACKTTCAACACAACAACCAACGACATGTCGGCTTGTTGAAATGTATTGCCTTAGAAACATTCAAGCAGTAACACTCAGGGTAAATTAAACACTAAAAATTTAAGCTTATTCACATTATTATACAACAATGTTCATGGATAAAGATTTTTTGAATGATATTTTATTCTAATTAAGTGAGGTAATAATTTTAACGTTATTTTTATCCGATGATTGTATTAAACAACGATTAGTAAAATATTACAAAATAATAATAATAATAATAATAATAATAATAATAATAGTAATAATAGTAATAATAATTATATACAGCAATATGCAGAAATTCTGACCACTCTGACTCATTTTTCAACTATATATAAAATATATCAGAAATTATGGGATATGGTCACTGATATTTTTTTGAAGTTGCCTAGGATCAGTAGTATCTGAAAAAAAATATCAGCGATGATATCCCATAATTTCTGATATATTTTATATATAGTTGGATTATGAGTCAAAGTGGTCAGAATTTCTGCATATTGCTGTACAGCTATTTGCAATAATTCTGACCCCCCTACACTAATATTCATATTTCTTAAATGGAGATCTTGATCCTCTAACGCTTATGTGTACTGATCTTAGAATCTCAAAAGATATTAAAGTTCTAATCCAGTTCATTGTTACTCCGTATGGCTCATCATTTTTCTCAGCGATCTTCAAAGCAATCTCCTTTAGGTAGCGTTGGCATTCTTTTCCCATTCCTCCGTTAGTTCCCRAGACGAGGGGTGTGAAAGATCSCRTCTCTATATCCAAAATCCTTTGCTGATATTTTCTTTTCTTTTCTTCCTCTTGTGCTTTAAGTAATGTTTAAAGGCCGACAATGAGGACTTGACGGGGTTTCAAAGTCCGCGCAATTAGTTCCAGTCCGAGGCGTTAGCCGAACGACTTCAAAAACTCATTAATTATTCGGGAGGGAAAAAAAGCGAAGGAAATACATATAACAGAAATATATTGATTTATTGCATCTCCACTAAGGTTTTCAGTTTTCATTATTTTGAATACATGAAGCACCGTTTGTTGTTCTTCAATTCCCGGACGGCTTTCTGAAACAAAAGCTATTCAAATTGTCTGCTATTCATGGCATTCCTAATGAGCCTAATCCATAAGATTTATAAGTATGTTATCTTCCGAGGAATCACATCAGAAACTCGGTGGTGTAATGGTAGTATAAGACGGCGCATATAGACTGGACGGTAGGGGATCGAGTSGTGAGGGAGTCATGTATCAAAGACCTTTTTTCACTAAATCAATGTTAAACTGATTATTTCTAATAACTTGATTATCATTAGCTAGTAGTAGTTGGAAACATGGTAGAAGTAACTGGAAATAAGGTAGAAATARCTGGAAATAATGTAGAAGTAACTTGAAAAAGGTAGAAGTAACTGGAAATAAGGAAGAATACAAGGTAGGAGTACTTCCTCTGGTTTCAAGTTACTGCATGTGGTACAAATTACAATCAGGGATTGGYTGAATACCTCATGAATAATTAATGATTTTTGAAATATGGTTGATGTTGGTTTACCTTGGTTACTCTCTGAATTCACATGCGTGAACTCCACGTGACCAAAAACTTCCTGCCTTGAAATCTAATCTAGCATCAGAASTTGTGACTGTACTTCTTTGCTGAAATCTTTCATTGTCCAGGGGCTGAAGATGAGGCTCAATTTCAACGTTCTTGCATACCTTGTTAGTCAGCGTCGCAAATAGGTTGCGAATACCATCATGTCTTTGCGCMACAAAGCCTCCTCTTTTGCAAGAGAGTGCGTGTCCGACAGAGAATCTCTCGCCACAAACACAGTGATCAGATAATGTCATGTTGTACCTTAGTCGAAGGGAATCTCTGAATTCTTGCTTGTTCAGAGCTAGTCCTTGTTCAACAAGGGGTACTGCGTTCAGCCAAGAGCTAGCTCCTTTGTCCCTCAGTTGATTGACTGATCGAAGAAGATTTGGAGAGAGTGAGGCATCAATTCTTTCCATATTCAATGCTATCTTTTCCTGTCTGATTGTTTTGTTTTGTCTTTTAAGCTTTGAGTTAGCGTTCGCATCAGCCACCAAGTTTTGCTCTGTGTCTTTATGGATTCTGCATGTTTTCTTGTATTGCAGGTTRAAGCGGCAAATTGTAGTGGTGCTTCAAACTTTAAATCTGGTAYCCCTAATCCGCCTTGTGCTGGTGTTAACTTAGCTAACTGAGTTATCTCGTTTGGCAGCACTTCTTCTTGGCCCAATAAAGTGGGCAGGAGTACTTCATCTGTCACTTGATGTATAGGATCTACATAGTCTTCAAATGACTCTGTGGTGCACATGAAGTACGTGAATTTGAATTTATAGCCCTTTGTAAAAGCGATAAAAGCTGCATGGGGTTGGCTTTTGGCAATTGTGTAGCCAATGTCTCCATTGCCAGAAATTTGGGACATTTATCAAAAATCATAGAATGTTGTTATTTTTAAGAAAAAAAGTACAAATACGGCTTGAAAAGACATACTAGTACTAAATAAAG